CTGCCTGGTTGCCTCTCCATCAAAACTACGAGTCCGACCCCCTCAAAGAAAAAAAAACGAGTCTAATACTCTTGTGCGTGCGCCAGTTCAAAACTCCGAGTTGAGTCTCATACGAGTACCGATCTCCATGCGTTGCACGATGTTCATGTTTTTTTCTATCCACGTCTACTGCGAAGGATTTGGTCATTTTCAAAAAATAATAAAATTTATTAAACGATTTTGGAGTGGGAACCTAAACTATTCTCAAATACATTTAGGCATTTTGATCGTATTCAAATTAATTCACGCGTATGTCAACTCTTTTGTTCCAGATCGAGTATGTTCCTAACAATATCTAGCTTCTTTCGGTCTGCACACGCAGACTTATATTCCTGACTTTGCAGTTAGATAATTTCCAGGCTTTTCATATTAACTTTGGAGCAGATGGGCTACAAGTTATACATGCCCTTAGTCTTTTCAAGATTTATATTTCATACGCTGTGCTTCACGAGTCAATAACCTTAGTGTCAGAGATATGGGTCAGGAGTATCTGCACCGCCCGCATATATGATTGTCGCCGAGCTATCGGCCCAGTAGCCGTCAAGGGGAAGGCACGCAAGGGCTGACGTGGTCAACCAACGTGGGGATCAAGGCAAATCAAGACGGGCGTATCTGGACGATAGCTAAGATCAATCTGTTGTAACAAACTAGGAACACAATCTATTAGCCCGATTGTCCTCCCTGTAACCCTAACTCTCCTGCCTATATAAAGGAGGGTAGGGACCTTGGGCTTAGCCAACTCTCACCATTCCAATCTATCTCATAGCTAGGAGCAACAGCCCCTATAATTGAGCATACGAATACAAGAGCAGCCGCACCACTGAAGTAGGGTTTAGCGCGCCCCGCGCCCCAAACCAGTATATATCTCTGTGTCCCGTGTGCTACCATCTGATTCTGTCTATGCGATCACGTTGTTGGATATTGCCGGAGCAAAACAATCCGACACTTAGGATGCTATTAAGATGTTGTGCAATTTAGGTGTGTCCGATGATACAATTAGAACATAATTGCACCTCTTAGTTCTAACCATGCACAAAATTAAGTTTGAAATATTGATGTTCCAAACATTACGTTCGAAATTTGCTTTTTGTAACACGTTCATACTATTTTTTAAGCAATACACCACACGTTCATACTTAAATTACCATATCATTGTTATGTTCCCGTGTAACGCACGGGCATTTATCTACTAATGCTAAAAAAAGACCTTCGTATCATAGGGAACCTTCGCACAACTTGGCAAGCCTCCTAGCCTTCTACCAATCTATAGTACAATCCAACTTACAATGATCTGCGACCATGTACCTTTGACACCATTTATTGATGAGTTTCGGTGAAATTGGCGAGTACATTCACTCTGTTCACTGATGCTGAAATTTGGTTTATGCTGATGTTTATGTTGAAATGTTGTGAGAGAAAAATATTGTTTCGTGTTGAAAAATAGTTCAGAATAAACTCAAGCGAACAGGGTGATTTACTCTTCCCTTTTTGAATTACACTAGACGCGTTTAGTTGTTTTCACAGCCCCTTGTATTGTATATCTTGTATCTGTGGAAGCATGGTGAGTAGATAAATTATAGTTTGGTTGGTCGCATGGATGGATACAATAACTTTATAAAGACATTTGGTTGTCTGTATAGATGGTAGAAGACTTCCTAGCACGATGTATCGCATTCACCTAGTCAGGATGAACGGTGAAGCTTATTTAGAACATACCCACCTGGGTAAGATGAGGTGTATTTTACATCCACTCAGCAACACAATCTTTTCGGATTACACGAATCCACATAGCCATGACGAAGGAGATGTAGCTAAACAAACACACCTAATACGGATTCGACACTCACGTACTCCATCCGTTCCATAAAAATAGTCGTTATAGGATTTGTTCTGATCAAACTATAAATTGGATTAGGTTTATAGAAATTACTAGCAACATTTATATCTCCAAATAAGTTTATTATGAAAATATATTCAATGATATATTTAATGATAATAATTATGTATCAAAAATATTAATATTTTCTTATATATTTGGTTAATTTAAAAATATTTGATTTTTCAGGATGTGAGAATGATATTTTATGGGACGGACAGACTATGCACAAATACATTCACCCCTATAAATGTACACACATGCATCATATTCCTATGATCACCTTTAAAAGACTAAGTGTCGGGTTCATAAACCCAGGGTCCCTCGGGGACCAGCTTCCATGCCAGGGCTCGGCCCAGGAAAACAACATGCAGTCCATGGTCCGGCCCGAAAGTCTAAAAAACAACGGGCCGGGAGGACAGTCCGGTCGCCGACCGGGAGGCCTACCCGAAAGGGCAAACGCCCGCTCATTCGACTTCTTCGACCCACCTCTCCGACCGGAGCGCTCGCTTCGGGCACCGGCCGCCTCTAGGCGGTCCCTCCGATCGGAAGGCCTGGCCCAAAACGCTGCTTCCTATTCCGACCCCGCGACTCCGACCGGGGACCCATAGAAAGCCGGCGTACCGCTCGTCTCCGACTGGCGCGGGCAGGGCCGACTGGAGCCATCCGACCGGGGATGCCCGCTCGGAAGGGACCAGGGGCGAACGGAGAAGACAACGCACTAAGTCAAACCACGATACTGGGACCATACTCTGTACGCATGCGGAAACAGTGCTCCACGACCACCCTGACACAAGCAGTATTGTAGGCGCCGACATTTACGTCTACAGTATTGTGGGCGCCGTTGAGCTCTCATACGGCAAAAGGCTCCCCCATGGCTCTGGGCATCAATAGGGGGCGCCAGGATCCACCATACCTGGTACACATGGTGGGGCTCCTCACATACCAACAGTATTTTGCAGGTACCGATGTCCACCATTCCTGAAGAAGCCACCGCAACCTCCCACGTGCACCTGATATTCTACAGTGACGTCAACAGTATTGTGAGCGCCTACCATCATTGCTACCCTCGTCGGCGTGGACAACAAGGCTTAGAAACATCCGTACTCTCTCCCTCTCACATGTAAAGCCATCCCCTTTATCTATAAAATGGGATGTGCTCCCTCCAAACGGGAGAGGACGCTTCTTCTTCAAGTTTAGATTCACTAGATCGATAACCGGTAACCCCTCGAGCACACGCTTGAACACCTAGCTCATAGCGGAGTTCCGGTCGCCCTCGGCCCTTCCGGTCGGACCCGATCGGGCCTCTCATACACCCCTCTTTTTTCCTTCTCGTTTGTAACCCAATACAGACTTCGAGCACCTGGGCTCAGGAATAAAGTCACTGACCGACCCAAACGGGACGTAGGGCACGTTGTCTGAACCAGTATATATCCTGCGTCATTGAGTGCTAGGCCACCTTCGATCACAACGTACGACAAAACTACAAAAATTCACTAGTTGGTCACTTTCTGTACCGACACTAAGCTAGTAGATCTTGAAATTAATGAATCATCAACATCTCTTTTGTCGATAGGTGCATCGTCTATCACTGAAATAGCAAACATCATTAGATTATAGATAGTTTTAGGAAAACGCAAGGGCATCAAGTTGAAGGCATAAACTCGCATGGTCAGTTTTCACCACATGGATGCTAACAAGTTAAGCTACAGTTAGTTCAAGGCGGTTTCATTACTCGATAGTGACATGAAACTTTGATTGACGACATGTTTGTTGTTCACTTGTTCCTATTCGGTCATCTTATGAACGAAAATTTAGCCGAGAATACTCTCTTCTTGGTTACAACCACTAATTTTTGTTTAATAAGAAATTTTAAAAGATGATCTATAATAAATAGTTGGATCTTGTTTAGATGCACATGTATCTCTTGACTCTTGGTCCATATGTGTTGAAGTAGATTGTGATGGAACTTAGATAAAATTCTTTTCAATTCGTTTCAACACGTATAAATTAAGGTCGATACATGCAAAAAAAAAAAAACCCTGGCGATGGTGCATGGTACCTGTGGAAACCATTTCTCTCGTGTATAACCACCAAAAAATCAAATCAGCCAGCCGTTACACAGTATTTTGACAAATGTATAAAACAGGTGGGCCATGTTGGAAAAGTACACCATCAGACAGCAAGAAGCTACCGGGCCCATGTGCAGTGGTCCAGGGCACAGATAGGACCAAACTCTTCTCTCCCACAAAAGTAAAAGGGCCTGTTCGCTGGTTAGGGCTGGTGCTGATTTAAGCTGGCTGGTGCTAGTTTTTTATAAGAGAAAAGAACGGTTGGCTAACTAATTTGGGGTGGCTGAAACCAACGAGCGGCTGAAAAACTTTCGCAATACACCTCGTCCCGAAAATAAAAACTGGCGTAAAATAAACAGAAGAGCCCAGTGTCCCCGCTAGCCGCTAGCGAGCTAGTGCAGCGTCCCCCTCAACCTCTCCCAGTCTCTGCCAACCGCTTCGCCCCCCTCCTCTCTCCTTGGATTCCACTCCTCCCTCGTCCTCGGAACAGTTGCTGCAGCAGCTGCAGTCCCCCCTGCGCCTCTCCCCTCCCCGGCCCCCTGCCCCGTCCCTCCGCCGCCTAGGGCTTCCAAATCCCCTCAGCTTCCCCGGATTTCACTTTCCCACCGGCGTTGTACGGCTCCGGGAGGTTCTAATCTCCTTTGAGCACCGGCCGCACGCCGGGGCCGTTTCTTGGTGTTTATCGCGTTCCTGCACTCCTCCGTGCAATGCCGGGCCTAAGCGCGGCTGGGGTTAGGGTTCTTGGCCCGCAGCTCGCTTCAATTTGAATTTTTTGGAGTTTTTTATAGGGAGGTAAAAGAGTCCGGATTTCGAGGAGTTCTAGGTTGCGTGCTTGTCTCGGCGAAGGGGAATCTTAAGTTCATGGACGGGGGTTTTAGCTCGACGAAGCGGGTATTTTTCTACGGGCGTTTGGAATTCTTTGCTCGGTTCTTGAGGTGCGCCGAGTGGAAAACCCGGTAAAATTTGAATTTTTGGGCGGTAAAAACTTCCGGGGTTAGGCTTTAGTGGCTTCCATGGCCGGGGCGCCGAGGGTCCGGTCCCTGAACATCGCGGTTCCGGAGGCAGAGGCGAGGCCGGTGCTGCTGCCGGGGGGCAACAAGGCCAGGTCGGGCCCGGCTAACGCCCGGAAACCGTCGCCGAAGCCCCTGAGGAAGGCGGCGGAGCCGGCGGCGGCGGGGACGCCAGAGAAGCCTGTGGCCGCCACGACCAAGGCGGAGGAGGGTGCAAAGAGGAATGCAGTCGGCGGGGGCGGAAGTGGCGCGCCCAAGGGTGCGTCCCCTGTGCCGTCGCCACGGCGCACACCGCCTGGGCCGCCGTCGAGGAGGAGCGACGCGCAGCTCCTGCATCCGAGCTTGCCGCTCAGCGCGTCGTCTTGCTCCTCGGATGCCTCCGCGGAGTCGGGGCCGACGGCTGCGTCGAAGCAAGGCAAGGCTGTAGGTAAGGCGGCAGAGAGCAAGCTCGTCGTGGTGGAGTTTGTTGTTCCGGTGACACCAGAGGTTGTGGAAGGGAAGAGGAGGTGCGCGTGGGCGACTCCAACCACTGGTGAGCTTCTTCTGTTCTGGAACTTGTTCTTTGTCAAAATCTTAGTTTGCTGTAAGAATTCTTCTTCTTTCTTTTCTTCAGAAGAAGAATACAATTCTTGTTTCTTGATGTATTTGTTACTGACTATATTTTAGAGTGCGTAATTTATGCCTGTTCGAATTATTGGCTAATCAGTCCATTCATGTGTCAGCAATTCATTATAACTTATACATTCTAGCATCCTTAACCAGGCACTTTTTATCACACTTGTTCATATGATGTAGACATGTAGTAAAGCTATGCGAAACCCACAGGGTAATTAAGAATATATTCCCTTCTAGCCTTTCCTCAAGAGCAGCATGCTACTGAGTTGCTAACCGGAATGATGATATATCGTCTACTGCGTTAATAGCTTGTTAAACTCTAGCTGTTCTTGTTTGTCATGGGGTTGGATATTGGAACCATTTGAGATGGTAATTCTGCCTACATTAGATAAAGTTAGCATTCCTCCTTTAGGTTGCCTATAAAGTGTAAAGAGCATATTCTCCTTTTTTTTGTTTCCCTTTTGTTTTTATTTCCTTCATTCAATGGATTGGTTAATCTCTTGCAATTTCACATAACATCTGTAATTGACTATAGTTGCATATATAATTAACATTAGATATGCAATTTCATCTGAAGGATTGCCTTGTCATTGACACTTCCACAGAGTTACATATGTAATTAGCTATAATATATAGTTTTGACTCATCAACTAAATACCAGCCCGTTAGATCAATCTATGCTATTATGTACCATGTGCCCTTTGATTTTGATCCTGCATTCCTGCTGCAGCAACCCACTGTAATTGCTTGAAACCATAAATTCGGTAAAAGGAATGGTTACATTACAACCTGAAAATAACACACTAGTAGTTTTAATAGCTCCATCTATACTGCCAATAAAACCAAACACCCAAAGCTTGAGGTACAGCTTTATTTTACAGCATCACATGCTATGGTTATCCTGTGCCTTTTTTCTAGGCCTTACTGATGAAGTGTTTCTTAAGCTACGCATTTTTACGAACAAAGCTGATTTATCATGTTTTCTACTGACCAGATGCTTGCTATGTCACTTTCCATGATGAGGAGTGGGGGGTTCCCGTGCACAATGACAGGTATGCAAACTGAAAATTGCAAAATTCATCTTTGCTATTTATCTCTGTGAATAGGAATCAGACCGCCCAAGGATATTTGACCATGGTCGTTCTACAGGAGATTGTTTGAGCTACTTGTACTATCTGGTGCATTGGCTGAGCTTACATGGCCTGAAATTCTTAAGAGGAGGCAACTTTTCAGGTATAGGTCTTGCAATATTGAAAATAAGGCCCCTTTGGAATGCGGGATTGCTTCATGTTTTCTGTGTTTTTCCTGTGAAAATAAACTGAATCCTGTGAAGTTCCTACATGATTCTTGTGTTCCAAAGGGGCCCTAAATAAAATTACTCTGCATGGTTTATTTTGTAAGATCCATGCTGAATCTTCCAGGGAAATTTTCATGGAGTTCGACCCTGCTGCTGTCTCTAAAATAAATGAGAAGAAGCTTGTGGCACCTGGAAGCACTGCCCATTCTCTTTTGTCAGAGCAAAAGCTCCGAGCTGTCCTTGAGAATGCTCGCCAGATACTAAAGGTTGGTAGTGCCTGCTTGATATACCGCCAAATTTGGTACTTCCGTTGCTGTGGTTTTTTGCCTGGAACTATAAGTTTGTGCAAACTGATGCAGATTGTTGATGAATTTGGATCCTTTGATCGGTACTGCTGGGGTTTTCTGAACCACAAGCCTATAGTGAGCAAGTTCCGATATCCAAGACAAGTTCCTGTCAAGAGCCCGAAGGCAGATATAATCAGCAAAGACATGATGAGAAGGGGATTCCGAGGTGTGGGCCCAACGGTCATATATTCCTTCATGCAGGCTGCAGGTCTAACAAATGATCACCTGGTCAGTTGCTTCCGGTTCGAACAATGCAATGCCATTCCAACTCTTTGCACGAGTGACATTGACAGGGTAAACATGAAGGCAGATCCGAAAAAAGATGAGATGGCAACCAAGATTTATTGTGAAGAGATTACCACAAACCCAGAGATGTCAAGGACGATTGATGCTCTTATCGTTTCGTAGCACCATGTGGAAATTGGTATAGCAATGTGGCTACTGAACTTGTGTAATCTCTATGTAGACAGTGTGTTAGGTTATCCTTGAATTGAGGTCAGGAATCAAAATGCTTTTGTAAAAATCATTTCTGTTGCTAATGCTTACTCTATTGTAAATTGAATGGTTAGGGAAGCTAAGGCCCTGTTTGGTTACCCCTCCTAAAAATTTTAGAAGTTAAAATCTGGATAGAATCTGTCTAAAGAATCAAACACCCCCTCCTAAAACCTCCTAAAAGTTTTAGGAGGCTGGTTTTTCTTTAGAAGCTTCACCCCCTCCTAAAATCTCCTAAAGTCCTTCTTGGACCCCCACTACCTCTCATTTATTGCCCCCTCCCTCTCTCTTTCTCCTAAAGAAGGATAAAAGTATCTTTGTTCAACAACATTTACTGCTTTTAGTCAGTTTTAGAAGGTGCAACTAAACACTCTTTTAGAAGGTTTTAGAAGGCTGTCTAAAACTTGTAGAAACTAAAATTTTAGGAGGTCGGAACCAAACAGGGCCTAAGGATGATGACCTTTTCTTACTGATCCAGAAACTGAAATTATTGCTGTCAATCATCCAGCAATTTTCTCCTGATCACTGCTGTTTATCAGAAAGATTTCCTTTGGCATATTATGATTTGAGGTCGCATTCATCATAACTGGATTCCCTGCGGCTGCTTGCTGCAGGGCTCATTTAAGCAGGTGACCAGAGATTACTGCTATGGGATTAATTTTTTGGGGGCTCAGGAACCTAACCATGGAGTCAGTTATGCATGACTACCGGATGCCTTCTTGTGAGGAGTGAGGACAACAGTCTCACTCTCACAAGGCTCGGAGGTCGATCTGCTTCATGCCAAAGATCTATGCTATTTATTCATTTTTAAAACAAGAAAGATTCACTTCTGCATAATTCAGAAGTAAACAAGCTGAAATTCTGGACTCTGGATCAGTTTTTTTAATAGATATAGAACATACTAGGTCACAAGCTGAGATTCTGGACTCTGGAGCATAGGTTTGCTTTTCAAAAAAATTCTGGAACATAGATCACAAGTGGCCTACAGTGAAAACTGTCAGTTCAGCTTGTACATTGCTATGTGCTGTCGTTTGTATGACCCAATTTTTTACAATTTAGCCTCTTTTTTAAAGAAAATTTACGTTTGGCCCACTGAGAGACTTAAACTCATCTTTGGACCCTAGAGGTCGGCGCCAGGACTCATGGCGCCGAGGTAACACGTCTCGGCGTCACAGATCTTGGCTCTGAGGTGCCTGACCGAGCACAGCATGGCATCCTAGGTGGCGTTCACGTGTCCGGTACCTCGGTGCCAGGATACATGGCGCCGAGCTCGGCGCCACAGATCTTGGCGCCGACCTCAGCGCCATGTATTCTGGTGCCGAGCATGGATTCAAAACCCGCGGCCAAGTTTCCCTTTCCGAGGCTGCTCTCATTTCTTCCTCCTTCCTCTCGGTTTCTTCATCTCCCTAACCCACCCAATCTCTTGAATCGACGAATTTGACCTTAGATACTTGGATTTAATCCATACATCTTCGTGAGCAAGGTATCCTCTCTTCCCTTTTCAAATTTTACACATTGATTTTGTATATATTACGTCTATTTTGCAACCCTAGATACGCTAGTACCTCATGTTTGAAGTGATTTTTTATTTTTTGTATTATATAACGGTAGGATGCCAAGGCGTGGTAGAGCTAGTAAGCCAAGGTAATCTCTTATCATCGTGTTATATTATGTTTTCATTTATGTGCAACAAATAGAAAAACCCTAGGTTTAGGGTTTAATGTTCATTGATTTCAGTTCTTAGAACAAATTTGGTTCAATTGTAGTTATGGCCGGATGACCGGAAATGCCTTCGACCCGTTGCCTCTGCCTAGTGGTGTTCCAGTGCCCATGTGCTTTTGCGGCGATTCTTGCAAGGTAGCCAAGTTCGATGAAGAGGACACGTATAGACAGAGGTATTGGATGTGTGCCAATTTTGCGTTTGAGCCTACACTTCATCAGCGCCGCATTAACAAGATGGTGAGAAATTGATATTGTTTAATATTTATTTTGTGTCAAATAAAGTCTTGCATGATTTATTTATTTTGTAACAACTGCATTTATTGCAGACCCATCCACCGCTCTGTGATTTTGAGCAGTGGATCGACACTGGGATCGAGCCGGAAGACAAGGAGTGGATGCAAAAACTGTTACGGTGGGAGGCAGAGGACAAGGAGATAATGGAGAAGAGACGCAGAGAGGAGGCTTTAGAAAAGGAGCACAAGGAAGAGGAGAAAAGGAGGCGTGTTGCTTCGCACAGGGAGGAGAGGGAGAGGAAGCTTGAGCTTGCGCAGCGAGCGAAGGCAGCGATGTAAGAGAATCCCGATGTCCAGAGGAAGGGAAAGTGGCCTCGTTGCACTCAGTAGTCTTCATAATTTGCTAGTTCTATGGTATATTCACGAACAATGTTGTCTAATCTTCGACTTTGCATTGTGTTGTCATGTAATGCACTTTTAGTTTGTCGTCATGTACTTCAAATGTTGTTATGTTGATTAATGTGCTCTATTATTGGACCTTTCATAGTGTTGTTGGTTTGATTATTTGTTGTCATAATATTGAGTTTAATATTGCATAGGTAGTGAAACGAGCTCACGTAGTGCAAATAAAACGTAACGAAGTAGTGGATTACCTAATTCAACACACAACACATGAAATGGCATGTGATAACATGTACCAATCTAGGGTACAGAGGTCCTGGACTAAACCTAACATCCCTTAGATAATTGAAGCAAACAACAAGCACATGAAATGGCATGTGAGAACATGTGCCAAACAAGGGTATATATTTCCTTCGACTAACCCTAACATGCCTTAGGTGATTAAACCAAAAAAACAAACACATGGATATGGCCCGTTAAAAAGATTGGTTTGTCCTAATAGTGTTGTCGGAGTTTCAAAACCGGGGGTCCTTAACCGACTAGTGAATTTGTGCTGCGTGCTCCTAATTTCGGATGGAGATGCAAAGAGACACAAGGTTTATGCTGGTTCGGGCAATGGATGCCCTACGTCCAGTCTGAGAAGGTGTTCTTGTATTCCTTGCACCGGGGTGCTCGTAGTAGGGGGTTACAAGCTAGGCGAGAGAGGGAGTTCGTCCCAGATTTCTGTGAGGGGAGGTGATATCAAATTACAGAACGAGGCGTGTTGTTCGTGCGAGTATCTGTGATTCTATCCGTAAATCTGGAAAGCGGTCTGGCTGCCTCCTTTTATAGCCGCAGGGAGGAAACCAGGAGTACATAAGAGAGCTACACGTGGAGCAAGGACTATTCGATGACGTATTTACTCCTGGAGCAGCATGGCGTTGTCGTGGGAGTTCCCGTAGATGTCCAATCGGTATGGTCTTCACTGCAAGTAACATGCTGCGCATTTATTGACTTGGTGGATTGCAGAGGCTCGGCGGCCTTCGTAGCCGGTCGTGCCGAGGCCTGTCGTGCCGAGGCCTGCCGTGCCGAGGCCTGCCGTGCCAAGGCCTGAGAAGTGACCTAGGTGCAGATGCGGGTCTCAGCAGCCATCAGGCGGAATAGTGCGAGACGTGCGCCTACAGGATACGGTACCTGTGTTGTCAGTAGGGATGGTAAAAAAGGTGATCTGACCGTTGTCCCGTCGCTCCTGTTGCAGCGCACTGCCGATCGTGGCTTACGTAGTGGGTGCGGCCGAGCGCATTAATCGGATGTGACAGCCTGCCAGAGAGACTTTTGAGGTGGAGGCGACGAGGTTGTGGAACGAGCCCGGCCTCGGGCGAGGCGGAGCGCGGCCGATTCGTCCGAGGCCCTTCCGAGGGGGTCTCGGGCGAGGCGGACGGGCGAGGCGTAGTAAGATCAGTGAATCCGAGGCCCGGGGGCTCGGGCTAGACGGAGTGGTCAGTCCACTGATTCTGAGGCTACAGGAACCTGTTCTGACTCCCCATGTTGCGATGTCCTTGGTGCAGGAGTTAGGCAGCACAGTGGTCGGTAACCCCTGCTCTGTGCCGTCTCAGATGGCAGGGGGTTGACGCGACCGGCGTGTAGCCGGTCACTTCGTCGTTCTGTGCCATCGTGCGTCTGTCGGAATGGTTGGGCACCTGGATGTGATGTTCGGTCAGAGCAGTTTGGTCAAAAAGGCGGTCACAGGGTTGGTGCCGAGCCGGCCTCGCGCGAATCGAAGAATCGGCACTTCTTCCGAGGCCCCGGACGAGGGGGCCTCGACGCGGGGGCCTCGGCGAGGCGGTCTCGGGCGAGTCGGAGAACCGTTTGCTTCCGCTAGGGCTCGGTGACGGGGTCTCGGGCGAATCGGAGATTTCGGCCGAGATCTCGTTTGTTTATTCCGTTGGTTCTGTTTTTAGGGTCTAAGCAGTTTCTCGATCTTTGCTTGGGGTACCCCATTTTCTGGTATCCGACATTAGCCCTCGAGCCTCGGGCGGGAGTGTGGGATACTCTCCCCGAGGTTTTTTTTCGAGACTTTTGTTTCTCAGTGGTTTTTGTCGGGTTTGTTTTATACTCATGATTACGGTGGGTGTGGCTTGTGGCTCTGGCCGGGTGTAGCCCCCGAGGCCCTAGAGGAGTGAGTTTACTCCTTTAGGGGCTTTTTCTTCGTTGAGTAAGGCGCTCTATCGCATTTGCTTGACCCATGAGAGCGAGCTCGGGTCGCTTGTTTGGGGTGCAGGAGGAGCACCCGAGCCTGCCGAGCCCTTGCGTGCGATCCTAGGTCGCTGGGTCTTAGCAAGGTTTGCAGGAAGAGCCCCCGAGCCTCCGCACAGAGCGAGAGGGCGGTCAGGAGTTCTTCTAGCTTTTTGTACGACCCTCGCGCTTCCTTTTCGCTCAGAAAGAGGGTTGTTTGCCGAGCCCTTCGCGTGCGAGCCTAGGCCGCTAGGTCTCATCAAGTTTGCAGGAAGAGCCCCCGAGCCTCCGCGCGGAGCGAGAGGGCGATCAGGAGTTCCCCTGGCTTTTTGTACGACCCTCGTG